GGGGACCGGGGGTCCGGGGCCAGGGTCGACGGGGGTCCCAGGGCCAGGGCCGGGGTGCTGGTTGCCGGGGTTGGGGTCCCGCTGGGGTGCCGGGGGTCGGGCGAGCGCGAGGGTCTTCAGCGGGGTCCAGGGGTCGACGCCCCCGCGGGAGGGGGTCCGGGGGTGAAATCCCCGCCCCGGCTTTGCCCTCGGGGGTCGGCGGGTGACAACCCTGATCTCCATACATTGATGATGTAGCTTGGACATTGACCTGTCATATGATACAGGTCTTCTTTGGACATTCGATCCAGGATTTGGACTAGTTTCAGCTTGATCTCACAATGATTTTTTTCTGTTATCACTGATAACAAGTCGGTTGGTTGATCGCCGACTCGTCGACTCACGACATAACTTTGCTTACACTTGTACCTCAACTTGATTGCCTTAGCCCATGGATTTGATATGTTTCTTTGAGGGTTTTAACCGAACTTATTTTAATGACCATTATAAAGAACTTATAAGATTTTGTGGAAATTGAGACTATGGTTGGGGCTTGAGTGTGTGAGGCGTGGTGTGAGTTATAGGGAACAGTAAAGTTGACCACATCGGTGTATGGCAATGTGGCTATTGTGTGTGCCTATGTTTTATGCATGTTAGTATTTGGAGTTTAGTATATGAGCCGTACTTTGGAGGCAGTGAGAATGACAACCATGTGTCGCACGATCTGCATACCTGATGGAACATGTTATTCGTTAAAATATGACATTATATTGCGTTATATTTCCAACGAATTCATTTTTGGCCGCAACCTAAGCAACGTAGGCATGCCCATCCAGGGTTTGACTACATGCGGAAAGTGTGTTGAGATCCATACTTGTCAAATTGTATAAATTAGATCCCAAATGGTGAAGCGTGCTGAGATCCATACTTGTTAAAGTTCATACACAAATAACGATAGGCACGCTCGCCCATTCGGGAACCCTGTGCGGAAGTGCGATGAGATCCTTACTTGTTAAACTTCAAGTTCATAAATGTGATGAGCAAGGTGTCGTGATTGCATCCTGGCTAGATAATATAATTCTTTAGGTTAGCCCAAAGTTGTACAAGCATGTCCATCCTCTCGCCTGAGACGGTTCTTTGGATGTACGACGAGATCCGGGGTAAGTCTCCTTTAGAGGACGTGGGGCAGCGATAGGCACGCCCATCCAGAAAGCTTGTTATGAAAGTGTGTTGGGATCCATACTTGTTCAAAAAGGTGTTTATAAATGTAATGAACAATGTGTCATAATTGAATTCTTGTTGGATAATACATTTGTTCAGGTTTAACTTATCCCTAAGTTGTGCAGGCATGCCAATCATCTTGCTCGAGACGATTGCTTGGATGTTGTTGAGGTCCAGACTTCTTTAGAATACTTAGTTTAAGGATGGACACGCCCATCATCTCGCCCAATGTGCGGAAGTGTGTTGAGATCCATACTTGTTTACAATTGCGATGAGTAAGGTATCATGATTGTATCCTTATTTGACATGTTTGCTTTGAGCAATGTGTCATTGAAAACTTCAAGTAATATAAAAGTTACAGTAGCAGTCGAAGTACAAGCGGTTAATTTTGACATACGAATTGCTTTTCTGCGACAACACCTGTCATATTAAAAAAGAACTTCAGATGTTGCTTATTATGTGATCAAATCCGCACTTTCATTGACCATTAACAAAAGGTTTGGGCACGAACGCAAATTTTTCGGTTACATCTAATTCAGGCGGTCACAAATATGTGATTCTATGCGCACACAAGAGACGTGATGTCATTGGTCTTTGACTCTTCGCATGATGAACCTCACACTCACATACTCGCCGAGATTTGTTTTTTATCCACACACCAATTTGTCATGTTGCACTACACACACCAATATCATTCAAGACACAATTTGAAACAAGGAATGCAATGCGAAGAATTTAATAGCACGAGAGACGAGTGAGACCTGACTAAGATTCCAAAGTCAACATGTGATGTGAGACTGACAGTGAACATTCCAAAAACAACTCAAGCTCGCAACGATAAAAGAAAGCAATGTCGTTGTGAAAGCAACAGTTGAACAATGTCAGGATTAACAAAATATAATCAGTAAGTAATGAAATATTTTCAAACCAAAGTTTGTGAATGAATCGAATCCATCAATGACAACGGCGTTCCAAGACACATGATGCCAATTGTCGTCTTATGTCCGGAATATCTTTACAAGAGAACCTAAAAGGTGGTTGATCACCACGTTGCAACAATGTCGCAAACATCAACATAAACACCCCGCAACTAGCTCCATCCACTTGTCTTGGAACTCCTTCCACCAGAACCTTTGTTGCTATCGACCTCCAACTGCTACACGACCGGCGATGTAATGTCCAACGTTCTAAACACTGTACAATCAAATCGAAAACACTAAGGTAAAAACTCGAATCAGCTATAACGTGAGGAAAATAATCAAAAATTTTGAGAATATAATCTCTCAAGTTGACGGAAAGGAGGATACAGTGATCGTTACCTTTATAGATAAGAACAAAGATAATATCGTATCGAAGCAGATCCACATTTGTAGCCCACCTTTCTACCTCGCCGTATCCTTGAAGTTGCAGTTTAGTGAAGAAGAAGAACGAATTAAAGCTGTAGATTTGAAGACCCGACAGTATGTCACTTATTGCAGATGCGATCGACCCCAACAGCGCCATGTAAAAATTGACCACCTCATCATTCACTCTGCCGTCGACATGCAAGAGGGTGAGAAGATCTTTTGCCGCAATTCGCAACTGGCCGCCGGCGAAGATAGAGAGAACAGTGTGAGGCGGCATCAAGCCTCGTCCAATGTCCTCCAAATCCCGCAAGTTGGTAGGTGCAGTCGCTGCAACGAATCTTTCCCCGCTTGTTCCACACGTTGTGGCCCGCACCGCACAACATCGGGTGAAGGAGACATGGGGTAGTGAGAAACGGAGTGTCTAAGCATTGTCCTTCATTGCACGATGCATTGCTAAGTATTGTTCATACATGGCCTGACCCCTACTCACAGATCGCGGATATGTCCCTTTCTCTGGGGGCAGATGGGAAAGACACTCCTCAATGGCAATTGCATGCTCTTTCTTCTCGATCTTGACATCAACCCTTGATGCCTTTAACATATCCTTGTGTTTTGTGGTCGACCCGGGGGCTTTCTGGAATATGTGTTCCGGATATTTCGAGGACCTCCGTGCTCGAGATGACCCTACCCCTGTACAACAAAAGAAAGACAAAACGGAAAATGAATACACATTACCCAACACGAGTCCGACGAAAGTGACAATGTAAAAGAACCACACAACCCACAAGACAAAGGACCTCTCCAATTACAGCAGCTTTATCCCTTCGGTCCTTCGTCGGCCACGTTGGTGCGGGCAAGCCCAGCATGTCGAGAGCTTGAGTGCCGACCCGAGATCTTTTCGGGGATGTGACATGTTGTCGGCCCCCAAGATCGCCCTCCCGGCCGCTGGCTAAGGTGACGCTCTGTATCCGAGAGGTGGGTGGTGAGAAAACGGTGTCAGAGGGCACGAAAGTTGTGACTTTTTAGTGGTCGTCCGGGACAGGCGCTGCATACCGTTGCCCGACCACCTGCTCGTCGCCGAGTATCTCATTGATAACTTCAACGACGCTCAATTGTTGACTTCGTTGAGCCGGGCTCACAACAGCGGAAACCTCGTCGCAACGGTGTTGGAGATCGACTGCAGCCGTCAGTGGTTGAACCTCATAATCTTCAGGGTCTGCTAACAGGTCATTGACCACCTGCGTCTCCATCTCCATTGTTGTCGCATCGTCGTCAACATCAGGCCCCGGATGACCCGCGTAAAGGTGCCCGAACGAGTCAGACGATTCCTCGCAGTCGGCATCCTCCTCATTGCCCAGCCGTTCGTCGCCTTCAATATCGATATCCCCTTCTTCACCCCCTTCCTCTCCTTCCTCTCCTTCTTCCCCTTCTTCCCCTTCTTCCCCTCCGTCCCTCCCACGCCATTCACGAAATTCTCCCAAAACCATGTCGAATCCCGCGGCCCGCTCTCCTGCCCCCACGTGCGTAGCCCCTCCCGTGGGCACGATAATCCTTGCATGTGGAGCCCTTTCTGAAGAAGTCCGGATCCGGGCGGACTTCGGCTCATCATGGTCAGTGGGCTCTCCATTTACGCGCGGTGTCTCAGCCGATGTAGTCCGGATTCCGACGGACTTCGACGCAGGTCGCTTACCGGACATGGCAGTTGGCTGTCCAACAACGTTCTCCCCCCCATCACCGCCACCGCCTTCCCTTGACGTGGCCTCATGGTGAGGCAAAACCCCACCCGAAGCGGTGGTACCCTCTGCTGTCCCCGGGGGGGTCCC